CGGTAAATTTTATAAAATATCATCGGCACTGAATCGAAAACATCCCGATAAAGTTAAAAGGAATTATTTGAAATCAGAAGATAACGCTGGTTACATGCTTCGACCGTTACATGCAATCACACGTGAAGATTTAACTGACAGTAGATTAAAATATGCTGTAGTTTGTTCGAGATATCGGATATTATCAAATATTAATACTTTGAGCAACTGAACAAATGTATACAAGCTTCACATTTTATTGGCGTAGCATCATCCTTGGAAATTTGACAGGTTGACCCTCGTATAATAATGACATTTGATGACAAGGTATTTTTTAAATTTTAGGGTTATGAAACAGAAAGCCGGGTTGCCAGAATGTGTAAAATATCTAAGTAGATTCAGTTCCAAAATATTTTTCCGCAAGCCTACTGCTTCAGCACAAAAAAGTAAAGCTTCTACTCCTAATACAACAATATACTATTTCGCAATAACTTTTTTCTCGGGTTTGGTCCAATAAAAATATTGGTTGCTGACTGTAAAAACTGGCTCTACATCTACATTTAAACTATAGGTACCTACCCCAAATATATCTGTAGTTGTGCTTCAGTTATTATTTTGGGTACCTATCTTGAATATGAAATAAATTTGATAATGCCGAATTTAAAAAAATGTCAAATAGATTTTGCAGGTATGTAAAATAGTTAGGTACCGTTTATGTATTGCACCATTGAAAAATGTGTCAAATTTGATTGGCCAGATAGGCCAGAGAATTTTAATACCGCGACTCTTACGAAATTATGTAAAACACACTTAAAACTGCCTAGAATTTGACATATAATGTCATTATTATACGAGGGTCAACCTGCCAAATTTCCAAGGATGATGCTACGCCAATAAAATGTGAAAAGCAAATATATTAGGACGCGTGTTCGACTGTGTGACAATGGTGTGACACAATCGAATTGTGTGCCCTGACTGATTTTTTTTAGTTGGAATGCTCTATAAATTCGGCCCTTTATAGTTCAAATTATCCCCGATTTAGAGGTATTAGCATTTTATAGACAAATACCTACGCCTTGAAGCAGTGGACCAGCATCTCGATATCCTCGTTCTTCTATGAAAATGGCGCCCTCTTGAATCCACTCCCTCATACCATCTATGTTTCTTTCAAATTCGCGTTTTAATATTGTTACGTTAGTCAGAGAAATACGGCCCTTGTATGTGAAGTGTATACCTATACCCGTTGGGAGCTACAATCAATTCGGGTTTTATCAAATGACGGCCCTATGCTTGCAATAAGAAAGCACAGAGCGCGGAAGTTATTGCTTTTATTTATGTACGAATACGTGCCGTCAATAGGTCTGTTCTCACAAGAGTATCTGACAGTTTGCAACCTGTCAGAAAGCATCTCCCATATATGTTTGCAATGCCGTCGTTCCAAGATAAATCAGTAAATTATTAAAAAAAAAAACAAATATCTGGGCGATTATTTCTGACAGTTTGCAAACTGTTCATGAATGTCATTTTTATAAAGTAACAAAAAATTGCATCTGATATCTTTTAAACTTAACATAACTCGAAAATGGCTCGTTGAATTTTTTTGTTCCAATAATAATTTTTGTTTAGAATGTCCAGGAGCACAACATATCCTAATTTCAGACAATTTCACCGAAAGCCATTTTCCATAAGATTAGTGCGGGGTCCATTATAAATCATTTGCACCAAATAATTGCAGTTGAAACTATCTATTTAGACACCAATTTAATCATATTGTACAAAATTAATTCAAAGTTAGGTGTTGGGCATATACCTAGTAAATCTGTTACCTTTGAATATTATTTAAATAGACTTGAATCTTCTTTCTTTTTTTATAGATTAAGAAACTACATAAAATTAATTGTTGAGTATGAGGCGCCATATGTTCCATAATTATTTCGTCTTATATGTAAAATATTTTGCAGGAAAAACAATATATAGATAAAAATGACCACTATTTTGCATATATTTAAAATAAAAAATAATATTTATATCGAATTTAGCAGCATGTAAAGTTCGATATACCTATATAAAATAACTTTGAAAAAATAAATATATTGAATTTGGCCCCATGCAAAATTCAATATTTATAAAACTTGAAAAAATATTATATATATCGAATTTGGCATCGTGCAAAGTTCGATATATATAAAACTTTGAAAAAATATATATATTGAATTTGACCCATGCAAAATTCAATATTTATAAAATATGAAAAAATATTATATATATTGAATTTGGCATTGTGCAAAGTTCGATATAAAACTTTTTAGTTTGAAAAGTCCCCGAGAGATGGCGCTACCTTTGATCATAATTTTTTTTTGTGTATGGTGTGTTGGATTGAAATAAGGTATTTTGGAGGGCCGTTGATTTGTAATTTAAATAGCTGCAATTAGGGTGCATTGATAATTGCGTGATGATAATTATGTATTGTCATAAGCGCGGCAACGGCAACACTGGTGAATGATAACTGAGGTTGTGTTGTGTTCCTTTCCTTCCGTTTGAGTGCCCGCCGCGCTCGCGTACCGCCTAAAGTTTGTTTTTTATTTAAAGATAATTCCCCAATTAAAAGTAACTATAGGCGTATTTTAGCCCGATTTTAACCCAGTAGTATGTTGTATTTACTTGGGATACTACATTTTAGCGATCATGGCTAACATACTATGACGTCACAACATAAAACACAACATAAAACTCGGCAGTAAACATGTAACCATCCTACGAGGGATAGTTACTGGTTGTAGTATGTCAGTGCATCTTTTTCTAATACACGAAAATGAGCATATGGGCAAAACATCAGCTGATTACGATACGATTACCGACACAGTTCTTTCCATTATAAATAGAGGATTGTTTTTCCTCATTTTGCCATGGTTTTCTGTGCCTATAGTTACTTAGTAAATTTTTTAATTGGGGAATTATCTTTAAATAAAAAACAAACTTTAGGCGGTACGCGAGCGCGGCGGGCACTCAAACGGAAGGAAAGGAACACAACACAACCTCAGTTATCATTCACCAGTGTTGCCGTTGCCGCGCTTATGACAATACATAATTATCATCACGCAATTATCAATGCACCCTAATTGCAGCTATTTAAATTACAAATCAACGGCCCTCCAAAATATCTTATTTCAATCCAACACACCATACACAAAAAAAATTATTATCAAAGGTAGCGCCATCTCTCGGGGACTTTTCAAACTAAAAAGTTTTATATCGAACTTTGCACAATGCCAAATTCAATATATATAATATTTTTTCATATTTTATAAATATTGAATTTTGCATGGGTCAAATTCAATATATATACAGGGTGTCCTACGGTGGATGGCGTATTAGACGTTTATAGAGAACTAAAAGGCGGATCATTTTGAAAATTTGGCAACCGAGATAAACGACCATAATCTACACTTTAAAAATATTTTTGTTTATGCGGTGTTGCCGCTTTTACTCTAAACCAGATGCAACATCGCTATTTTAAATGAAACACCCTGTATGCGATTGCATATTTGGATTCTACGTAAAATTCTGAGCAGATTTTATGTGATATACCCTATACCTAAGTTCAACTGTTTTGGAAATATTGACAGTTGAAAATTGACTTTTTGCAACTTTGACAGGCTGTAAAACCTAAACGGTTAATTTCAGAGGAAAACCGATCTTACATTCCTATCTTAGATTTTCGTAAACTATCATTTGACACCAACTTTGAATTTAACCGGAGATTAAACTTAATTGAAATTTTTAATCATGGATTAAATTCAAAATTGTTGTCAAATGATAGTTTATAAAAATCTAAGATAGGAATGTAAAATCGGTTTTTCTCTAAAATTAACCGTTCAGGTTTTACAGCCTGCCAAAGTTGCAAAAAGTCAATTTTCAACTGTCAATATTTCCAAAACAGTTGAACTTAGGTATAGGGTATATCACATGAAATCTGCTCAGAATTTTACGTAGAATCCAAATATGCAATTAAATACGGGGTGTTCCATTTAAAATAGCGATGTTGCCACTTGTTTAGAGTAGAAGCGGCAACACCGCATAAACAAAAATATTTTTAAAGTGTAGATCACGGTCATTTATCCCGGTTGCCAAATTTTCAAAATGATCCGCTTTTTAGTTCTCCATAAACGTCTAATACGCTATCCACCGTGGGACACCCTGTATTTTTTCAAAGTTTTATATATATCGAACTTTGCACGGTGCCAAATTCGATATATATAATATTTTTTCAAGTTTTATAAATATTGAATTTTGCATGGGGCCAAATTCAATATATTTATTTTTTCAAAGTTATTTTATATATATCGAACTTTGCATGCTGCTAAATTCGATATAAATATTATTTTTTATTTTAAATATATGCAAAATAGTGGTCATTTTTATCTATATATTGTTTTTCCTGCAAAATATTTTACATATAAGACGAAATAATTATGGAACATATTATGGCGCCCCATAGTTGAGTTTCGAAGACTAACCCAAATAAAATATTCAAGATGTTTAGTTCAAGACTGCTTAGATGCGGTCGAAATAAATACTGATACGGAAAGTTTTTACCTTTAATCTGGATTGCACTGCTGACCCAATATTTCATTCAAACCTTTAATCCAAGTTCTTGTAAATAATTGTCTTTGATAGCTGGTTGAAGAAAAATCTCTGGATTTTGATGCTTCAAAACGTTTCAATTAAAAATTACTAGAGAACATTTTTTCAGTAATTAAAAAAATCAAAAATTGTCTCTCTGACGGTTTCTAAAACAACACACTCAATTTTTTTACACCTTCACACCTCAACATGACAACGAATATAATCAAAGGTAAAGTAAATTTAAAATAAGTGTAACAGTGAGTAACACCAAGGATTTGGACTTGAAATTTATGAAATTCCAAAATTGGTTTTTCTTTTTATTACCTTAAATTGAAAAGAGTTTTCAAATAAAATTTGCACATTTTGATTGAGTGGGTTTTAATTCTAAAATTTAGTTCCAGCAGCAACGAAGATTCTTCGGATGAAGAGGAAAGTTTAAATTCCGAATCGCCGGATACTTTTTCAAAAGATTCGTCGCCAGAGCCGATCACTTTCAAATCTCTATTTCCATCTTCCCAAGAAGTTTATGGATTTTGCATAAAGCAACCTTGTCGCGAGGATGTTTTGACTTACAAAAAGTAAGTGGAAGTCAATTTTGTATTATAAATAAATTATGTTTTCGATTGTAGATATGTTTTGGCAGGAAAACGTGCCAACGGTACCGCTCTAAGTGTTTTTTCTTCCAATGAAACTTCTATCAAACCAATTTCGAATTTTTTACAAGACACTTGTTATCAAGTGACCGTACCTACTGTTAGTCAAAAATCGATAGAGATTTATCGGAACTATGTGAATCTAGGGATTTATGGGCCAAAAACTCCTAAAGCAGCTGATTTGGCTGTTTATGCCAAATATGCTAATTTAAAGTAAGTATGTTTTTTTTTATAGTTTATTTTTGTTGTTTAAACTTGATACCTATATTATATTTTACTTGAATATAAAATATACTTAATACATGTTAATATGACTTATTTATCTGAATAGGGAATCTCCAATTTCGGCAATATGATCCAATATAAAATCCACATCCTGTCGTGTAAGAGCCGAATTCTGAGACACAAATCTGAAAAAATTCGGCAGCGTCTTCAATGGTTGATAGTTGAGCATAACTGCTCCGTGCTTTACCATAACGGCTTTAATTTGAGGCGCCACCTATTTAAGTTAGAACCAATTTTAAATATACATATTTGTAAGATAGCAAATAATTACCTTTTGCAGTTGGCTATGATAGTCAGAAATGTTTGATTTTCCTCGTAAATATCTGGGTAAAAACCAGAAACACACGTTAACATATTGTCGGGTCGAGACAAGCATAAATTCCGGCCTGGAAATTATTTGTTTTTCAAAGTATTCGGCCGTGTCCATGAGGGTGTCGATGTGGTTGGCGAATCCAGAAGAGCCCTGTGATTTAAAATTAGTCTTGCTTTTGTTAATCGAAATAATTTTTCAGTACCAGTACCAGTGTTGCCAACCGTACTATAATTATCGTATTTGTACTATAATTGAATGGTTATGTACTATGTACTATCAGAGGTCATTATAGTACGCCTAAAATAGTATAATAATGCATTATCAAATTATTTAGTTTTTTACTGGAAAATAATCTCTACTTTCCTAAACCTATTTTGTTGGCGTGCAAGCCTTTATGTCTAGTCACCTTGTTTCTTTTTTTTTTTAGCTGAAGAGGCTCTGTCGTTTTAGTATTGATAGAGCATATATTTTTTGACAGTTAACCAGTGGCGTAACTACAGGGGGGCCTAGGGGGGCCGCCGCCCCCCCCCCCCAGACGTCGCTAGGCCCCCCCAGAAAAAATGAATGAAAGCTACGTTACCTATTATCATTTTATGTTATTACGTTATTACCTACAAAATTTGAACGGTAATGCGCGGCGATCCCGATTGATCCTATTCGATCCTCGGATCCACCAACGAACGGTGCTGTGTGCCATTGTGCCACCCCAAGGTCAGTGCAAATTGCAATGTGCAGAAGTGATACAGTATACCAAACAGAGCTGTCAGTACTTCAAGTAAATTACTTGGAAAATGTATTCCAATTACTTTTTAGTATTTGAAGTACTATAATTCAAATACTTTTGTTTTTGGATATTTGTACTTGATTCTGCAAATACTTTTAATAAAGTATTTGTATTTGGTACTTGCATTAACAAAAAAAGTAATTCAAATACTGGGCATTTGTACTCAAAAATACTTATAATATTTCAAATACCCAAGAAAGTAAAAAGTAATTGAAATACCCCAAAAAATAATTCAAATACTTCACCAAACGTGAAATTAACATGTCCTACAGCAGATATGACTGACGATTTTTTTGAACTGGATGGTTCCCACTCCCCGAAGAGTCTTAAAAATAACAAAAGAAAATTTGAACTGGAAATTCTCCAATATGCATAGGATAACAGTATAGATATGAAATCCTTGGATAGGTCCTGTCATGAAAGAAGTTTTTCATAGGTACAGGGTGTTAAGTTATAAAGTACCACCCCCTGTAACTTTTTTATTTTTGATCGTACATAAAAAAGATACAGGTGATGGTACTTGACACCAGGTCCAATACGTGTTTTCCGTCATTAGCCCCTGTAGAAAGACTTTTTTATTTTCGCATAAATAGTAAAGTATACCTACAATCTGCAACTGGAATCTTGGAATCAGGAAAATCTGTATTACTTCTTAGAGGTATTACAAGTATTTTTAGCTTTGAATACAATTTAAAAAAAAAAAAATATTTGAATAATTTGAATTCCTTTTTAGTGGGTACTTGAAGTAGTTCGTATTATTTCAAACACACATAGGTATTTCAAATATTTAATTAAGTATTGGAAATACTTACAGAATATTTGAATTATTTTACTTGGGAAAATCAAGTACCAAATTAAAGTACTTGAAACTTGAAGTACTTTTCAAATTGAAAGTATTTAGTATTTGTACTTGCAACATGAATTTTCTGTAATTGATATTTGGTATTTGAAATACTATTCACCAGTATTTGTGACAGCTCTGATACCAAAGCCATTAAATTAGCATTAGCAATATAGCAGATTAGTTTGGGAGTTAGACTGAATATTTTTCCTGTGAACCCGTGAATCGGTGCTGCTGATATTATACTATACAGTGGCTGATAAGCTGGATTAGCTAGGTAATGGCCATTTGCACTGGTATCACTTAAGGGATATTTATTCTATAACTGGGGCTTTGAATGTGACTTTTGTTTCTACAGGAGTCACATTCAAAGCTTCACTTGGATTAAGTATCCCTTAAGTTATAGTGGTGCAAATGGTCGTAGATTTAAGCCCGATTTAGCCAGCTAATTGTCTATAATGCACTGTTCTACTTTTTCAAAGATTCCAATGAGTCACAATAACAGGCCCCAGGCCACTTGCGCCAACTACATAGAGGCATTGGGGTAGGTGCACCCATGAACAACCTCTCATGGGTGCTCGGAGCTCTCATGGGGAATGCGGAAGTACAAACGTATTTAATGGTCATTTTGTTCCGTGTGGTAGTATCAGTATTATGTAATTTAAATTTACACAACTTTGTATAAGAATTATACAAGTGGTAGGTATTAGTCTTAGATCAGGGAGGTATTAGTATTCTGTCATTTCGTTATTTGTGGTCAATTCTATGCTCTGTTACTTTATATTGCTTATTTTTTCCCAAATGATAACTTCGGGACGCATCATCGTATGTTCCACTGTATCATTTAATATAATTCTCTTTAACAAAGCCTTAACAAATATGGCATTGTCGATTTTGTAATTTAATTTTCTAACGAAAAATGCCATAATATACCATGAGTTACATTTAAGATAAGAAGTTGACGTCACTTGACTGAAATTGAAGCAAAAGTGGTAGAATTGGATGACAATGGTAGAAGCGGCACAAAAAGTTACCAAGATCCTTGAAATTTCAATTATATTGGATGACGCGTTCTGAAGTTATTATACCTGGGATAAACGTCGTGGGACATCCTGTATAGGTATACACTATGAAATAGACGTTTTTAGGCTGGCATCCGGAAAAAAATTTCCGCCTACGGCGAGCTTCCCCCACACCCTATAAACAAATTTATAAAAATATTATCCTGCACCTATGAGGACTTTCAAAAATGGGCGCCTCTGCCAGGCCCCCCCTAGGCCCCCCCAGGTCAGCTGGCTAGTTACGCCAGTGCAGTTAACATTTCAAATGTTAACTAGCAAAAGTGTTAATTTAGGGTGGGTAATATAAAACTACTTTGAAGGCTCATCCTCAATCAATTTAGTAGCGAAGTGGCACTTCGGCACACAAGCTAGGAAAATGTTGTTTAACGTTGGCATCCTCAATTCAATTCCGTGCTGGCATGCACGTCGACTCCAAAGTGAAGGTTGCAAGCTGCCAGCTTTTTCGATGCGTGCCGACTTATGTCATGCGCAGTACGTTAAAAAATTAATTTAGGTTATCCTTGCGTTCGGTATTTTGCTCAAAGAGCAGAGTGGAGCCGTAATCACGTGACCAGCGAGCGCACAGAGCAGTTAAACGCTGTATCAGAGGGCTCGAAATTTTATTAAACGAACGTGAATGAGTCTGCACCGAGTACACTTTTTGAATAAATGAACGGTAAATTTATGCTCAGAGAACTCAGATCAAAATACCGAATGCACGGTATGTGACCGTACTAAAATCTGTTTTTTTTTTAAAGATAATTCCCCAAGTCAAAAATTTAGTAACTATGTTGGCAACACAAGCCTTTTCCACATGAAAAATTTGAAAGCATTGACAATTTTACATTGTATTGCCAACCTTATGTCAGTTTGACTTTTATCTTTAAAAAAAAAAACGCACTTTACACCCACAGCAGCCTGAAAATTGACAGCATTGAGGATAGGTATAAATTTTCCAGCACGCGTGCCAAAGTGCCACTTCGCTACCAGATTGATTGAGGATGTAGCTTGAGAGTTAGCTTGAAGTTAACTTCTGGAATTACATGTAATTCAAAAAGTTAACCTCAAGTTAACTGTCAAAGCAGTTTTATAATACCCACCCTTAGTATATTTTAGGTGACTGGGTTTACACTGTCAATTGTCAATTTCATCGATTTTCCTGACTGAGCGGATCCTTTTTTTATACCAAAAAAGATGTTATCGAACGCACCCCTATTTAATTTTTAAAATTATTTTTATTTTTATTGGTTTTTACGGGAAAAATTTGAAATTTTAGTGTGATGCGCCCCTGAATTTTCTCTTTTTCCCCAGAAAATGTCATAATTTTCCCCTGAATAGTTTTCCAGAAGAAAAATAAAATGTTTGATGGTGCATTTATGCCTAATTTAGTTGATTTTCATTAATTTCCAATGGGGTTATTTTCCACTGAAAAAATTTGAAACTTTACTATGATTCGCCCCTGATTTTCTTCTTTTTTTGCAGAAAATGTCATAATTTTTCTTTGAATAGTTTTCCAGAAAAAAAATAAAATGTTAGATGGTGCATTTATGCCTAATTTAGTTGATATTCATTAATTTCCAAGTAGGTTATTTTCCACTGGAAAAAATTTAAAATTTTACTATGATACGCCCCTGATTTTCCGCTTTTTTTCCAGAATATATCATAATTTTCTCCTGGACAGTTTTCCAGGAAAAAAATAAAATGTTAGATGATGCATTTATGTCTAATTTAATTGATTTCCATTAATTTCCAATGGGGTTATTTTGACTGGAAAAATTTGAAATTTTAGTATGATACGCCCCTGACTTTTTTTTTGCAGAAAATGTCACAATTTTTCCTTGAATAGTTTTTCAGAAAAAAAAAATAAAAATGTTAGATGGTGCATTTATGCCTAATTTAGTTGATATTCATTAATTTCCAATGAGGTTATTTTCCACTGGAAAAATTTGAAATTTCACTATGATACGCTCCTGATTTTATTCTTTTTTTCCAGAAAATGTCATAATTTTCCTTTGAATAGTTTTCCAGAAAAAAAAAAATAAAATGTCAGATGGTGCATTTATGTCTAATTCAATTGATTTTCATTAATTTCCAATGGGGTTATTTTTCACTGGAAAAATTTGAAATTTTAGTATGATACGCCCCTGATTTTCTTCTTTTTCCCAGAAAATGTCATAATTTTCCCTTGAATAGTTTTCCAGAAAAAAATAAAACGTTAGATGGTGCATTTAGGCTTAATTTAGTTGATTTTCATTAATTTCCAATGGGATTATTTTTCATTGAAAAAATTTGAAATTTTAGTATGACACGACCCTGACCTTCCTCATTTTGTCCAGAAAATTTCATAATTTTCTTGTGTTGGATAGTTTTCCAGAAAAAAAAATAAAATCTTACATGGTGCATTTATGCCTAATTTACTTGATATTCATTAATTTTTAATGAGGTTATTTTCCACTGGAAAAATTTGAAATTTTACCATGATACGCCCCTGATTTTTTTCTTTTTTTCCAGAAAATGTCATAATTTTCCCTTGAATAGCTTTCCAGGAAAAAAAAAATGTTAAATAGTGCATTATGTCTAATTCAATTGATTTTCATTAATTTCCAATGGGGTTATTTTTCGCTGGAAAAATTTGAAATTTTGGTATGATACGCCCCTGACTTTTCTCGTTTTGTCCAGAAAATTTCATAATTTCTTTGGCTAGTTTTCCAGAAAAAAAAATATATTAGATGGTGCATTTATGCCTAATTTAGTTGATTTTCATTAATTTCCAATGGGGTTATTTTCCACTGAAAAAAATTGAAATTCTACTATGATACGCCCCTGACATTTCCTCTTTTTTACAGAAAATGCCATAATTTTCCCTTGAATAGTTTTTCAGAAGAAAAATCAAATGTTAGATGGTGCAATTATATCTAATTTAGTTGATTTTCATTAATTTCCAATGGGGTTATTTTTCACTGGAAAAATTTGAAATTTTAGTATGATACGCCCCTGATTTTCTTCTTTTTCCCAGAAAATGTCATAATTTTCCCTTGAATAGTTTTCCAGAAAAAAATAAAACGTTAGATGGTGCATTTAGGCTTAATTTAGTTGATTTTCATTAATTTCCAATGGGATTATTTTTCATTGAAAAAATTTGAAATTTTAGTATGACACGACCCTGACCTTCCTCATTTTGTCCTGAAAATTTCATAATTTTCTTGTGTTGGATAGTTTTCCAGAAAAAAAAATAAAATCTTACATGGTGCATTTATGCCTAATTTACTTGATATTCATTAATTTTTAATGAGGTTATTTTCCACTGGAAAAATTTGAAATTTTACCATGATACGCCCCTGATTTTTTTCTTTTTTTCCAGAAAATGTCATAATTTTCCCTTGAATAGCTTTCCAGGAAAAAAAAAAATGTTAAATAGTGCATTATGTCTAATTCAATTGATTTTCATTAATTTCCAATGGGGTTATTTTTCGCTGGAAAAATTTGAAATTTTGGTATGATACGCCCCTGACTTTTCTCGTTTTGTCCAGAAAATTTCATAATTTCTTTGGCTAGTTTTCCAGAAAAAAAAATATATTAGATGGTGGATTTATGCCTAATTTAGTTGATTTTCATTAATTTCCAATGGGGTTATTTTCCACTGAAAAAAATTGAAATTCTACTATGATACGCCCCTGACATTTCCTCTTTTTTACAGAAAATGCCATAATTTTCCCTTGAATAGTTTTTCAGAAGAAAAATCAAATGTTAGATGGTGCAATTATATCTAATTTAGTTGATTTTCATTAATTTCCAATGGGGTTATTTTTCAGTGGAAAAATTTGAAATTTTGGTATGACACGCCCCTGACTTTTCTCGTTTTGTCCAGAAATTTTCATAATTTTCCCCTGGATAGTTTTCTAGAAAAAAAATAAAATGTTAAATGGTGCATTTATGTCTAATTTAGTTGATTTCCAATAATTTTTAATGGAGTTATAGTCGGAGAGCCAGCGCCGACTAAAGCCAGTTTTTGGTCAGTTGATTACAGTATTTACATACATAAACATACCTCGGTCAGTCAAGTGAAACTTGGGACAAGGACCTAGGGTGTCTGGTTGAAGTTGTCGAGATAGCTAGGTAATGCAACGAATTTACTGAGGTTGAAAATTGCTATACATATTATATATAACACATAAATAACAGTTATGTTTGTCAGTGAGTTGAATAGCGGAACTGGGCCGGTTATTTAGCCCCATTGAGGTAGTTCAGCCCCAATTTATGTAAAAAAAAATTAATAGGTCTATTTTTTTTTAGAGTGACAGAGTGACAGTGACATTTCAAAATTGTAGGTTGAAGTTCAAATTAATAGGTTTGTTCAGTAATATTAATATTTTTTGCAGATTTTTACATATATTGGGGCTGACTGACCTGCACGGTCCCGCTATTCAATTGACTGACTAACACTACTGTTATTTATACGTTATATATAATATGTATAACGATTTTCAGCTTTAGTAATTTCGTTGCATTACCCAAGTTATCTCGACACCTTTAACAAGACACCCTAGGTCCTTGTCCCAAGTTTCGCTTGACTGACCGCGGTATGTTTATGTACATAAATACTATAATCACCTGTCCAAAAACTAGCTTTAGTAAATTCAGAGAATTTTTTCGGCGCTGGCTCTTAGACTATTATTTTTCACTAGAAAAATTTGAAATTTTAGTATGATATGCCCCTGATTTTCCTCGTTTTGTCCAGAAAATTTCATAATAGTTCGATCTCTGTGTGTCCCACCAGGACAATTGGTGGTCATCTGTCTCCAGCAGGATACTATAATTTGTACAAATGTACTATAATTTTATAGCGTTCTATACTATAATATTTAGTTGATACGCAGTTGGCAACACTGACCAGTACCTATATTTTAATGATGAATAAAGTAGGCAATTTTAACTGAACATATGTATTTGCTTTCAAAGAGTCAAAATTTAGCAAATTAAGTCTGAAAGTACCTACATCAAATCAGTTTATTCTTCAGAAACAGCCACAATTTTGATGTTTTCGCATTTGAAAACCAAAATATCATTTTAAATCAAATCAAAGAAGTCTCACCTTCGCTTTCCACATGAGCCAAAACTTGAACACGTCGCATTTCCTGCCGCACTGCAAATACCGGTCGCCCACATCGTAGCTCGAGTCGTAGTATTTGTCCTTCTGGAACAGGTACTCGGCCCCTCTGGAATGGCAACGGTGCAAAAGATCTGGATCGGTAACTAGAAGCATGGAACATTGCTGAGGCACCGCTAATAACTTATGCGGGTTAATGACTATGGAGTTGGCGGCTTCAATGCCGTTTAGTTTCGATCTACAAGGGACTTTTTTTTTGGATTTTGTATTTTGATTCAAAAAGTTTACCTGTGCTTTTGGGAAAATAAAAGACCTCCACCCCAGGCGGCATCTACGTGTAACCATACCTTGTGTTTTTTACAAATTATTGATATTTCATGTACTGGATCAAAAGCACCTCGTACTGTTGTACCTGTTGTAAATAAAAATGGGTTTTGAAATATTATATTATAACAAAATTGCAAGGATTTTGCACTTTCCTAAAGTAGCTACAACCATTAAGGGAATTGATCCTTCTTTCAAAACATCAAGAATGCTTTGTTCGAGTTGTTCAGGATTGATTTGGCCTACTTCGTTGGTCTTTAACGAATAAACATTTTCCTCGCCAAATCCCAGAAAGGCGGCGAATTTAAAGGTAGAATAATGGCACTCTTCCGATGTCATAATTACCATTTTAGGTAAATTCAGCAAGCCTTGAATCTACAAATAAAAACTTCTTTCATCTATTTATCAGATAGATGAAGTAAGTTTCTCTACGCAGTTATTGTGAAGTTATCCATAAAATCTCAGCCATAAAACTATCGAATCGCGGTTAGGCCTACTTTTACTATAAAATAAAATAGCAATCCCAAAAATTTTGGCCTCATGCAGGGATGCTATTTCTAGTACAATTGTACTAGATCTAGCACAATCACGTTTCACATAGTACGCTAGTACCTCTCTCATAAATCTAGTACAATTTAGAATACAAGTCGAGTGTCGCTCTTCGCTCTATACCGTACCCGAGTTCTGCACTCCACTCTCTACTTCTGGATTGGGTTTCACGTTCCGGTCCCATTACGGTTACAAGAAACTGGCGTTACGAATATGAGGCAATTTTTGGCGAGAATATTCAAGCATAATCTTATTATGCTGGGTTATGTGATGTGTCAATTGTGTCATACTTCCCTAACTCCCTTTCCATCAAATTCTGGGCCTGCGAAAGACATCACTATCAGCAGAAATTAGCAATGACGTCACCCGCAGACCTTGATCGAATGCTTGCGATTCAGGCTATGCTAGTGAGTTAATTTTTTCGTCGATTTTAAATGTAGAACAGGTGATTTTCGGTCTGTTCTCACAGAACAAATTAGTGTTCTTGATCCTCGAGTATCCCAGAATTTGGGGAGTTTTTTATTCTGTGACTTGACGTGTGTCATGAATCGGTGGTTATTCGATTATTCAGCGGATCATGGTAATCTGTAGTCGATTTATAACTAAATATGTAGAAATTTATTTATTTCCATCATTCAGGGTTTCCAAATAGCGAGTCACCCCCAGGGTTAACGATAACTCTAGGTAAACATTGCAACTAGACACGTCTACCTTGAAGTTAAAACCAACTCGCAGGTGACTCGTTATTGAGAAACTAGAGGTGAGTTGCGATTTTACGAACTGTGACTTTGTCACTGTCACAGTCACGGCCTGCTCCGGTCCCACTCAAGTAGCAGTGACATTTTGTCACGGCCACTTCGATCTCTAACCGATACAGTGCGGACTAAACTCAACTTAAAGTGATGCAAATAATGAAATATTATTATAAATCACATTGCGGTGACGCAAAACAGAAAATGCCACTGCAGAGGAGAGATTGGAACATTCTTCTCGGCCGTGACTGTGAACTGAGCGAACTGCGATTATGTAATGTACCATGCATTACCAGCACGGCCAGTCAAGTCACTGTTATTTGTTACCGTAACACGACTAGAGCAGTCACGTCTTGTCACAGTTCCAGTAAAATCGCAGGTTGGCTCACTTCTAGTTAAAACCAACCCGGAGGTGACTCGATATCGAAAAATCGGCCTACAGGGACGAAAAAATGTAGCAACCCTGGCACAAAAGTTGCAGCAACCCTGACGCAAACGTCAAAAAATTTGACATGTCAAAGTCAAAGTAGGCCTTGTAATTTTTGACAGTTAATTTAAAATGGCGACAATGGCGTTTGTTTGTTTTTTGTTTTGAAAGCTCCCTTTTTTTGATTTAGAGCTTCGTTTTTTCAGCTAAATTTAGTGTGCTAAAACCCTCTGAGTAGGACAAGGAAAGAGATAAAGTAGGATGTAATTTAAGTGCTCACTGTTTTTAAAAGAGGCAGAAAAACGTTATTTACCCCTAATTTTAGTATTTGAAACTAGAAATTTATGGATGAAAATGAAGAAAACTCAAAGCTCCGTACTTAAAATCGGTTTTTTTGATCGAAAAAGCACTGGAAAAGCGAAAAATCCAAAGAAAATCCCGTAAAAATTACAATCCAGAGTCTACTTAATAAAATTTGAGTTTTTGTCACTTACCCCATTGCAAAACTGGAAATTTTTGGCAAAAAATGAAGGAAATTCAAAGCATCGTCTTCTCAATCGGTTTTTCCAATTGAAAACGGCCTGAAAAAGCGGAAAATTCGAGGAAAAACTGGATAAAAACATTCAAAAATGATCAACTGTCAAAACTGGAAAATGACATTGTGCGACGTTGCCACATCTCAATTACATTTTAAAAATTTTTGTTTAAATAATTAATTAATAATGTTTATAAAATGATAAATTCCGAAAATAATGCATTGGAATCTTATTTTTAATAAATTTCAATAAAAATGATATTCCAAGGCCTGCTTAATAGTAAGAAAAACAAAGAGGGAGATGAAGTAGGAAAAAATTGAATCTAAAAATTGAAGTTGTTGGTGGAAAAATGAAGCAAATTCAAAGCCCCGTTTTTAAAATCATCTTTTTCTAATTGAAAAATGGAAAATTCAATGGAAAACCAACATTCCAAAGCCTACTTGAAAAATCAAAGTTTTGGTCACTTATTACTTCATTGGGAAACTGGAAATTTTTGGTGGAAAATAGAGAAAACTCAAAGCCTCGAACTTTAAAACGATTTTTCCGATTGAAAACGGCCCGGAAAAGCGGAAAATTTGAGGAAAAACTGGACAAAAATGTAAACTCGACAATTTAAAATGGCTGACTGTCAAAAATGGCAAATGACATTTATTACAAGGTCTACTTGAAGTTGGCTACAAACGATGTTGCCACGTCACAAAACTTCCAAGAAAAACATTTAAAATCGAATTCTGCTTGTAATCTAATAATTAAAAACCCGTTAAATAATTAATTACCTAATAACGATTTTAAAATTAGAAATAGACCTATCTATTTTACCAGACAAAGAGGTAATAATACGAAAACTTCATTAAATAAAAAAAGACACAGAACGCTCATTGCGCAAGACGAGGCAAAACGTACCAAATTATGTTAGACTTACGTATAGCAATCCATCCTTCTTATTTGCACAGGATAAAAAGGAAAGGAGAAAAACCGCGTTTTGTGCAACGTATTTGTCAATGAAAATGTCAAACAACTTTTGAATGACACTTGTCAAGTTGAATATCAACTTTAGATTTATTCTTGTCAGACTACGTGCAATGAACAAGGATAAAGAGATGCCCAGCGTGCAAAACGATCACCTCACACCTGTATTAGCTGGCCAATAAAAAGACATTGCTTCGTGTTGCGCGCGCATACCAGGTAAAAATAGATAGGTCTATTCCTCAAATAAGTCCTCAAAAACTTGCTTTTCAATAATTTTTTTTCACCTTACCTTTTGACCGTAAATAAATGGATCTAAAACTGGCAATTTCTAGCAGAAAAAACTCGAAGCCTCGTACTTTAAACCAGTTTTTTCGACTAAAAAAACCCTGGAAAAGTGGAAAATTCGAGGAAAACCTGGATAAAAATGTAAACACGACACTTCAAAATGGCCGACTAATAATTTGGTAATGAGTATGACAAAGAGAGAGATAAAGTAGGATACTATTTTAGTCTAAAAATGGAAGTTTATGGTGAAAAATTGAAGCAAATTTAAAGCCCTGCACCCAAAACAGTCTTTTTCCGATTGAAGAAGCCTTGGAAAAGTGGAAAATTCAATGGAAAACCAATATCTTAAAGTCTACTTGATCAAACCAAGGTTCTGGACACTAACCTTGGAAAACTGGAAATTTTTGTCAAAAAATGAAGGAAACTCAAAGCCTCGTACTTTAAACAAGTTTTTTTTAGAAATATACAAAAAAAAATATCCGAGATGTTCTTTTAATGAAATTTTGGGTTAAAATTTGGGCGTAACACTTAAAAATTTTGTTTGGGTTTGTTTGGGTTAACTTGATGGGCCATGGGCCTCACCAGTTTAGATTGTCAATGTCACGAACCGCCACTGGATTGTAGTCTCCACACGATTGTTTGTGCCGCTTTGAAAATAACTATACATTATAGCTACTACTCCTAGCAATCAATAAAAATTAATTTTATGTCATACCGATACATTATTGTGTTTTTATACCTTAGATACCATCTACATAATTCATTACTTTATGCCCGTGCGGGCATAAAGTACACATTATGGCCCGTGCGGGCATAAAGTACACATTACACAAAAAACAGTTTTTGATTAACTTATTCTTTATTAACAAAATATAAATTTACGCTTATAAACATATTATTTTTGTCAAAAAATAATAATGTTTGCACACTGATGACAATTTGCGAAGTGACACTTTTTTCCCGGTATTTATTATTCACAACCAACTGGCATGACATAAAAGTTTATATGCACCACCAGGGCCGTGCATAGGGGGGTGCGGCCGGTACAAATTACCAGGGCCCGGGTTCCGTAGGGGCCCGGCCCGTCATCTCGAAAGAAAAGTTTTATGGTTGAAACTATTTTTATTTCTTTTTTCAAATCACTTTCGCATATACCCACAGTGTTTCGCAAAAGCTGGTCATGGTCTAACTCCCTTTATCCGAATGGAATACCCTATACATATATATTATTGAATATTCGGATTCTGTGTAAAATTCTGAGCAGATTTCATGTGATATACCCTATCATCTGTTTTGAGTGTTTTGGAAATATTGACATTAGTTGAAAATTAACTTTTTTCTATGAGTATTGAATAATATGCGTAATATACATCCATTTTCTATCAGGGGCGCCCGCAGAAAAATATGTAGGGGGGGTCAAAATCAATTGAATAAATTTTTTATGCGTAAAAAAGGGCACTTCAGTCCAAATAATCATAATAAATAAATATTTATATAAAAAAACTTAAAACATTCTTTCTATCTAAAAAATCACCAATTCGGAGAAACTTAGGTATACAGGGTGACAATTGGAAAAGTAGTAATCGGCAATATCTCTTAGACAAAAAATACTATCAGGAAGATCTCAAATACGTATTGGGGGATTGGAGGGGGATCCAAAATGGGGCACTTTTCAAGCCTCACCCCTTAGGGGGTAGCTACCCTAACTTATTTTTTTTTAAATACAAACCTGCCTTGTGTTGCACATCGTTCGATAGCTCCTTGCTTTCCCTTTACCGTCTTATAGCAAAATCTTAAATCGTACGAACATTTTTGAAAAATACACCATTT